TTAGCAGACTAATATGAGGCAGCCTCTGATGCAAGGTGTTCTGTCCTGTTTTGCCCAACTCAGAACTCAGGTGAATGAGCTTAAAAACACTGAAAGGTGAATTGACAATCCTCAGACACCTGAGACAGAGATTACAGTTGAAATGTGCAACAGACTGCCTAAGGCAAAAGCTAGGTAAAGTTTCTTTGGGAAATTAGGACATTCAGAAACAACTACGTATATGGGGGGATTTAGAAAGCCATGTGCATGCTCAGGGCGAGACATTCTCTGATTTCACCAGAGAAGACTCTATGCTTTCACCTTGGGCTAATCCCTTGGTACAGTGAAATCTAGTAAGTTGATGGAGGGCCCTGGCTCAGAGCCAATTTGCAAAGTGTTCAAGGATATTTCTGATATGGGGCACCTAGGTGGCTAGTTCGGTTAGGCGTCCGACTTCGGCTCAGGTCATGATCTCATGGTTTGTGAGTTCAAGCCCCACGTCAGGCTCTGTGCTGACAGCTCAGCACCTGGAGCCTGCTTTGGGTTCTGTGTCTCCTTCTCTCTCTGTCCCTCCCCTGCTCATTCTCTCTCTCTCTCTCTCTCTCTCTCTCCCCTCTCTCTCTCAAAAATAAATAAACATTTGAAAATTTAAAAAAAAAAAGGATATTTCTGTTACAACACTAGCTGAACATAAGCCAAGGAACAAAGACTGCAGTGACCACAATGACAAGGAATACAGTCTACAATAATAGTTTGGGAAGGACATTAAATCACCTGGCTCCTACAGCCTTCAACAACCAAAAAATAGAAAAGGAAGAACTTGACTTCTAGTTACCACATTATAATAGTCAAATGTTTAGTCTAACCAAAAATATTACAAGGCATACAAACAAGGTATAGCTAATTCCAAGGAACAAAACCATCTGTGAGGAATTACTAGACAAAGATTTTAAAACAGCTGTCTTAAATATGCTCCAAAAACTAATAGGAAAATGGACAAAGAACTAAAGGAAATGAGGAAAACAATGTATGAACAAAACTAAAATACTAATAAAGAAAAAGAATTCTGGAAAGGAACTAAAGAGAACTTCTGGAGTGGAAGAGCACAATAGCAACAACTTGGACAAACTGTTGGCTCTAAGACAAAACAGCTTTTATGTAGAAGATTCTGGCCTGGTCCCCCAGTAGGAATGGTGTCCCTGAACTCAAATCATAAAATTTGTCATCGTTTGGTGTGGTTCCGTGGAAAGATCTTGTGTTTTGGCTTAAGATCAGTGTGTTTGAAGCATAGCTATAAATAAAGGTAACCATGACTAGCATTGCTAACTGCAGTGGAGAAAGCTCTGAGAAGGAAGAACTCAGAGTTTAGGACTTATTTAATTTCTGATGCTTGCTTACTATCGTATCGGGCACTATAGTAAACACTTCACTCACTGATTTATTTTCATCTTCACACCGACCCTCTGAGGAGGTGTCATCAATCGGTAAAGAAACTTGTTTCCAAAATGTTCTCCTGCCACTTCCCGCTCCACCCCACCTCTAAGCAACCACTGACCTGATTTCTGTCACTATAGATTAGTTTGCAGTTTCTAGAATTCTATAAATGGAATTTATATAAAGAGCACAATGTGTGCTCTTTTTATCTGGCTTTTTTCATTCAGTGCAATTACTCTGAAATTAAACCATGTTGTTTTGTTCATCAATAGTTCATTCCTTGTTAACGCTGAGTCGTGCTCCATTATAAGGATATACCACAATTTTTGTATCCATTCACTCACTGATGGACATTTAACCCAGTTGTTTCTGACCCTAAACCCCTGCTACACCCTCGCTTACTATGTGGTCCTGGGAAGCCTAATTTTTCTCTTTGAGCCTCAGTTCTTTTCATTGTAAAATGGCAATAGTATTTCTCCCCCGCAGGATTGTTAATAGTGAGAGAGAATGCCAAACACCTACTACTGTGCCTGGCATAGTGGGTGCTTATAAATACCTATTTTCTCTAGGAAAGAAATATCTCCAGAAGGAAATGAGAACAAATATAATAGTACTGTCTTTCTGGAGTCTTTCTTCCTGCATTTTCACCTCATTATTGAAGATTTCTCACTGTAATTTTCTCTGCTTATCTCTTATCAGGACCCCATGAATATATTGTTCCCCTTTTCTCTCTAATCCAAATATGGACACAAACACTTTTTCTTGTTCTCATACCATGGTTGAAATAGAGTGATGTTTTCACAAAAGTTAAGGGATAAATTAAAAGAGTATAATTACATAAAACCAAGCAGTGTCAAGGCTCACAGATGCATGCTTCTCTCCCAAATAATCCCAGCAGGGTAAGTCGAAGAGTTTTGGGTTTTTTTTTTTAACATAATTTTGGATTTTACAGGAAAGTTGCAAAAATAGTATAAAGAATCTTGATACAACCTTTTCCTTCATTATTGCTTTACAATTTTTTTTTTTTTTTTGCTTTACAATTTTGACAGTTCAAGACTATTCTCTTATTTTCTTGCCTCCAAAACTTAGGCTAATAGTGGCTTCGACAGAATTAACTTAGTATGAGAACAAATATAACAACCGTTAACAATTTCAAAAATTGCTTACTGAATACCTGATAAGATCCAGACTACCTACTGATGTTTAACTTGGATCCTCTACTACTCTAAACTCTGTAAGGCCAGGACTGTTATTATAACCACTTAATAGATTAAGATATTGAGACATAGAGAGCTTTAGCATATGGCCCAGGGTCACACGGATCTTATGGTGCTGAATGAAACCAAACAGATTCCTGGATCTGGGTTTTTAATGCTAATTTTAAAAATCTAGTGTCAGCAAACTACAATGTTTAGGGTAAATCCAGCCCACAAAAGAGCTTTATATAGTCCCAGATCTGCTTGTACAAGGATTGCCATTCTCTCACACAGACAGATGGGCGCAACCTGGTCTAAACTACTTCCTAACCTGCCTTCTGTTTTTCAGTTATCTGGCCATTTTCTCTCACTAAGTACAGTGATTTCTTGCATTGCTCACAGAAAAACACGTCTGACTGAGTTCTAACCCACTGACACCATTTTGTCCTTTTACTGAAGGTCTCACTTCTAAAGGAAAGGTTAATCTTCACAAGGCTTGGGAATTCTTGGGACATTTTATGATGATTTACCCCAGATACTTTAAATAATAAAAAATGATACTGGACATGTGATTAAAGGCAGTAAACCTGAGGTGAATGCTGTAATTGCTTTGCTCTGATCCTCCTTCAGGGCTGAAGGATTTTTTCCCCTTGCTATCTATTGGAAGTGCTGCCTGCAGCCAAGCCCAGCCCTTTCAGGAAACTGCCTCAGGTGCAAACACCCGCCTTAACTCCTGGTCACAACTCCTCTCTGGGCACCCACAAACAATGGCTGATCAACTTAACGGTGTGGAAACCCAGCCTCCCAACCTCAGCCTGTAATATTCCCTAGGGCCACTGCAACATTACAGTCTTCCATTGAAAAACTACACAGCTTCTTCCTCTGCACAGTCCTGCTTCCTTCTCTTCTCTCAGGCATTGATCTCAAAAGAAGTTCCTAATGAATTTTATGTATGCTGATCTCTATTTCAGAGTCTACTACCTGGGGAACCCCCCCTCCCCCACACACACCAAGACAAAACCTAAAGCAAGAAGAGAGTTGTTTCTCAACCCCTTTGAAATTCAAGCTCTTTTTTTAAGTAGCTAAGGTCAATAGGTGACATAATTTTGAGTGACTTCTGCCTACCTAGAGTGAGTTCTTCATGTATTAACATCATGTTCCATGTGAGAAATGAAGACAAATGGACCCAGTGCAACCTGTCCACAAATGAGCCCATAATCATTTCACCATGCTGTTGAATATTGATTTGGACAATTACTGTTTTTAAATTTTTCACATTTAATCAGAGGTAGAATTTTGAAATATTTTCAGCATGTCATCTCTCTTTATGACCATGTTTGCCTTAGGGTAAACCTCAAAAAAATACTTGCTTGCATACATATTGTAAGAACACTTGAAAGATCACATACAAGAGACAGTTTCCTTTTTTTTTCTGATGTTTTTCAAATGTTTCCATGGTGACACAACCTGATAGAGTAGTAGATATTAGATAAAATGTGTTCTAATCCTTGCTCTGTTAACTTACAAGCTGCTTTTTGAGCCTCATGATTCTAACCTATAAAAGAGAGGTAATGGTGGGGCGCCCGGGTGGCGTAGTTGGTTAAGCGTCCGACTTTCGCTCGGGTCATGATCTCGCGGTTCGTGGGTTCGAGCCCCGCGTCGGGCTCTGTGCTGACTGCCAGCTCAGAGCCTGGAGCCTGTTTCAGTCTGTGACTCCCTCTCTCTCTGACCCTCCCCTGCTCACGCTGTCTCTCTCTCTCCTAGAAATAAATAAAAAACATTTAAAAAAAAAAAAAAAAAAAAGAGAGGTAATGGTGCCCATCTTTCAGAATGATTGGGTTGGTAAAATGAGGGAATATTTGCACAGGGCCTACTATATTCAAGTATTTAATAAATGGTAGCTATTTTAACAAGTATAATGATATAAGTGGATTGGCTAAAAACTTTTAAAGGAAATATCTTTTCAACAATTATTTCAATTTATTGCCACATTTTGAGTCCCCTAGTAGTAAATATTAGTTGGAAAACAAAGATATTTACTGTACAGATTTCTATACTGAAATGTACATTAATGATCTTCATCCAAGTGTCAGTTATCTCTAGGGGCACCTGAGTGGCTTAGTTGGTTGAGCATCCGACTCTTGGTTTTGGCTCAGGCCTTGGTCTCAGGGCTTAAGGGTTTGATCCCCACGTCAGGCTCTGTAGCTGGCAGCTCAGAGCCTGCCTAGAATTCTCTTTTGCTCCCTCTCTGTTCCTGCCCTGCTCATGCTGCCTCTATCTCTCTCTCAGTATAAATAAATAAATAAACTTTAAAAAAGGAGGAGGAGCAATTATCTCTAAAGAAAAGGAGTTGGAATAAGTGATTTCTGAGTCTTTTTTTTTTTTTTCCAGCAGTTAAAGCCTCAAGAGTCTATGGATTAGGATGACCCTCCAAAAATAGAAGCAACTATTTCTGGGAATTTGCATCTCTGTCTGTTGAGGGTGGCTGCATGTCAACAGAATTCTAAGTCTTCTTGACTAATAGTCTACTTGCAAATAATTCAGACCTTCAATCTGTTATACCATTGTCTGTACAAAATGCATGTCAGTGTACAAGTAGTCAGTAATGATTAAATTATTATAGAAATGGAAGTGACTTTCCTGTATTTAGCACTAGCTTTACTGTTGCTTAAACTCTATTTAAATTGATTATATATTATGGCTCATTATTTTTCTCTCAATACTAATTTCTTCTGCTGGTCAGGTTATTTATACAGAGAGGCAGTTCTGCCCAAACAGAAGGGAAGAAGTCACCTGTTAATACTGTCCCCCCAGGACTGGCTTCTCTGATATGATTCCTGCAGCTCCCTTACATCTTTGGACTCGTCCTTGGGCCCGTGCCCTCTATTTCATCTTTTGTCTCTGGAATGAGTTGCATATATATGGCCATCCTCTAGAACCTATTTAGAGTCAAGACTTACCTCTACTTTGAGTTGCACTTGTCTTCTCTTATTGAGTGGATCCAGGCTAGCAGACACATATGACCATCTTTATTTTCCTCCTTTTCTAACTATCTGTCGCTACACCCATCTTTTTACTTCTTGCCCAAGAAAAGGAGTCTGATCTCCTTTCTTATAGAAAACAGGGAAGCATTTTGTCTCTTTCCCTACCCTACTTCAATGATTTAATAGAAGTACTAGAACACTGTCAATCAAGGTAATGTTACTTACTCCCTTATACATTGGACTTTTGTCAAGGATATAAATGATGGAAGAAAATAGCAGGGGCTAGGAGTTGAGGCTAGAAAGTGGAAGGTGAGTAAAGAGGTAACACTTTACAGCTAAAGCCTGAAATATCTAAATGAAAGGTGAAGGTGATATGCAGAAACAATAGAAACTTCCAGGGATGCCTGGGTGGCTCACTCTGTTAAGTGGCATACTCTTGATTTTGGCTCAGATGAAGATCTCATGGTTGGTTTGTGAGATTGAGCCCCTCAACACATGGTTTGTGTGCTGCCAGCACAAAGCCTGCTTGAGATATTCTCTCTTTCACTCTATCCCCTTCCCTCTTTCTTCCTCTCCCTCTCCTCCCTCTCCCCCTTTCTCTTTCTGCCCTTCCCCTGCTAGTACATGCACATGCCCACAAACTCTCTCTTTCTCTCTCTCAAAATAAATAAACATTTAAAAACAAAAGAAAGAAAATCCAGAGTTCAGGAGAATCAGAACTCCAGCCCTTATGAGGAGACGGGAATTTGTCCCCAGTATAAAATGTAGAAAGATAATGGGGGCAAGAAAGACACACATGTAGGACAGGAAGGAGTTAAAGGAAGGAATAGGGATCAGGACATTTAGCTAATTTTGCTTCTTAGGTACCAATTGCCTTTTATAGTGTCACTGCCTTTTATCTTTTAAGTACACACATATCCCCCCCAACTTAGAACATGGGTGAGTACAAATCTCCCTAGAGTGTGAGAAAGGAAATAAGAAGAGATGTTGTACTCCACAGTTTACCCAGCTGATGACTGAAAAGCCAATTCTCTTCTTCTACTGTATGTTAAATACGTTTTTGTAAAGAGTTGTGATAATGTTTTAACACTGTGTCTGTTGAAAAATGCGTGCTTCAAATTGGATCACCTTAAAATGAATTTTGGAGATACAGCTCACGTGGAGACAGGGGACTTTTTCTAGTTTACTAACATTAACTATCTAGATGTTGCAGATAAGGAAAATTTCGGTTAAAAAGTGACTTGTAAAAGGCATTACGATCAAACTGAACTAAAATTATAACTTCATGCACCCACATTCAATCTGTGAGCCTTATTTTTCTACTGGGTCTCTAGGGAGCCTTGAAGAGGTTATTGGTGGAGGAGAGGGGGCAGTAGGGACCGGAACAGACTAACCACAGTCTGACAAAAAGATGGCTTTCTTTTCCTTTCTCTCTCTCTTCTGCTTTGCATTTCTATTTCCCTTCCCATCTATTTCTTTCCACTTCCTCCCCCTTCCTCCCTCCTTCTGTTTTCCTGTTGGGGGTGGCAGTATGGTTGCAGGGGTTGTTTTTCTCTCCCTTTTCATTGCTTCCTGGTCTTTCACTGCCTTCAGTGTTTGGTCTGCCTCCTTTCAGTCTCTTCCTTTTTATTTTTCGTTCTTGTTTTTATATCTGCCCTTCCTCGTTATTACTCTCATTAAGAGAAAAGTTTAAGTTCTTAACTCTTTCCAGCTCTGTGCTAAGCATTATAAAAGGGCAATTATATAGGCAGTGTCTGATGCCTCTAGTATACAATCTACTGTGAGTCCCAGCTGTGATTTTATAACACCCTCATGATTCCTGACATATTGTTTGTTTCTCAGTCCCATTAAAAATCTGGTGATAGCAACGAACTACCTCCTTCCAGAAGTGCCTGAGTCATGGACATACCCATTCTGCATGCAATTTCAGAACGTTGAAAAAAAACCCCTGAACCCCTTAAGATTTTATGACTTCAGATCAAGAACCCCGCTGGTTGTTTCAATACATTTCACAAATGTCACACAGTTTGAGATAGGAATCTGAAAACATCATAAAACTTAATTTTAATTCATTTTGTTAAGAATACCAACAAGCTATATTTTGTGTGGTGGGAGCAGTAACAGGGGAAGTAATGTTATCAAATTACAAGTAGACTGTAACATGATCCACAAAGAATAAACATTCATGGAGCACTGCCCCCCACATACATAAGTATATATAAAATCTTACATGATACAGCTGCTATAAAAATTATGTATATGTACACATATATACAAATATATGTGTGTGTATAATAAAGGATGTATAATATAAAATTTTATACATATATTAAATTTTCACAACAGCTGTATCATGTATGATTTTCTCTGAGATAAGGAAATTGAGGCTCAGAGAGATCAAATAACTAACTGAAGTCACCTGTTAGATATAGATAAGGATCCTAACCCACATCTAACTCTAATGACACCTTGGAGGATAATTTCTTCTTTGTCTCTTCTGTTCAGCACAAAACTTAGGGCATAGGAGATATTCATGGAAGGTTGGAATGTTGGTTGAATTAAACCAAACTGTCAACTACAGAACCCCTGCAGTGGATGCTGGAGTCTTGAGGCCACTCTCCCCACCTCTAGTCCCCATTTAGTTTCATTTCTTTAGAGAAAAGGAAGGGGGGGGGGGCGCCTGGGCGGCTTAGTCGGTTAAGCGTCCGACTTTCGCTTAGGTCATGATCTCGCGGTTAATGGATTAGAGCCCCGAGTAAGGCTCTGTGCTGACTGCCAGCTCAGAGCCTGGAGCCTGTTTCAGTCTGTGACTCCCTCTCTCTCTGACTCTCCCCTGCTCACGCTGTCTCTCTCTCTCTCTCTCTCCTAGAAATTAATAAAACATTTAAAAAAAAGAGAGAGAGAAAAGGAAGGGGGGGCATTTTAATAAGTTCAGGGGCACCTGGGTGGCTCAGTTGGTTAAGTGTCCAACTTCAGCTTAGGTCATGAACTCGCGGTTCATCAGTTCAAGCCCCACGTCAGGCTCTGTGCTGACAGCTCAGAGCCTGGAGCCTGCTTTGGATTCTGTGTCTCCCTCTCTCTCTGCTTCTTCCCCTGCTCCCACTCTCTCTCTCTCTTTCAAAAATAAATAAATATTTTTAAAAATTAAAAAAAAACATTCTGAAGAATAGAGGGAGTCTGCAAAGAGAAATATAGTAATTTCCCTCTATTCATCAGAGAAATAAGGCAGTTCTAGCAGTGTGAGGGTAACAGGCTTGAATGTGCCAATTTTCATTTGGAAGGGATTACTGCCAAGTTAATACAATATTAACTTGCGGAAACCAGTTTTGATTTAGTAAGTCCTCTGAACATTAAAAGAGGCATTCTGACTGAAGTTCCTGAAATATAGAGAACAATTTGAAACATGCCTAGAAGAAAAATACAGCGATTGTAGCATAAGGAAGTTCTCAAATGAAAGTCTGATTTTAAAGGAAGAAAAATCCCATTGATTGAATAAATTGTTCAATAAGTTGTTCAGAATATATATGTACATACTCTATCTGAGGTTAGCTAATGAAGGAAGCTGTAATTTGAAGAGAAGTTGGTGAGGAAAATGAAAGCAATGTCAGAATGTGGACAACTCTGAGATGGGGACTGATTATAAAAGAATACTTCTAGGAAGCTAAATAAACACTTAACAAAGTTGAGGAGAACTACTTAGGAAGTAACTATAATCTTAGAAGCCAGTCAAGACACTGCAATAATGAAGGATCAGTGACTATGTTTGTTGGATTGATAGTATCATAATTTAAAAATAAGCCCATTTTGACTTCAGGCCAGGGCAAGTTCATGATGCATTGTTTGTTTGTTTTTATTATTTTTTTAAGTATTAGGATTTTTGCTTTTATGAAAAAAAGTAAAGAACAAAAATGGCAGTTAGTGTTTATAGATAAAGTAAGTATCCGAGGGGTGAGAGTGGCACCCCCAAGCTCCTTCCCAAGGAACTACACTTAGCACCTCAGCCTCAAGCTGCCATAGCTTTGAATTGTATCCATGAGCATCTGTGCTTTATCTCAAATTATTCTGTGCATTCATTAGCAAGATGTGCCTTAAAGGTATCAGAAAAGCCTAAGAGAGGTTATTTTTTTGGGCCTGGGAACTCTAAAAAGTTTTCCATGTAAGTTCTACTAATTACTTCCTCACTTTATGTCATTTTGGTTTACGAAAGCTTTCATAGTTTCAGATAGTAAATGAAAACCTGTACAGTAATTGCCAAGATACACTCCAAAGGAGAGAGACTCCCTCCTGGAATGGAATTCTCAGCAAGTTGAATATTGCGAGAATAACAGTGAAAAGAAAAAGATTCCAGGTTCCAGTTATAGGTGCATGGAATAAGAAGAGCACAGCTACCCACTCTGGCATATGGAGAGATCAGAAGGCACTGCTGTGGCTTAAATGCTGAAAGAACTCAGAAATATCTAATAAAATTCCTGTCCTAATGAAAATGCCCCTGTGAAGAGAATTCAAACTGAGTGGGACAGGAACTCTTAGGGCAAAGTGTAGAAAAGGATCAAACACTTTGGGGGAAGATAGGATTCCAAAGATGGCAGATCTCAGAAGTGGGTATGACAGCACAGAGAGGCTATTAATATCTCTATTTGCATCTT